AAGAATGCTGTGTAAACATTTGCGGGTGTCCAATTCTCCCTGCTAAAAATTTAGTTTCGAGGAAAGTTATGAATATTTTTTCTTCACATTTTCAGTCACTCTATACTTAAAACTTACTTTATACTGAAAAATACTTTATACTTTAAAATTTAGTACAAATACAATTCTCTTAAATATGTGAAGAAAAGGATTCACCAATTTCACTGAAAATATGTATTTTATTAAAGCAGGGTCACTGGTGGAGTTGTTATTCCAAAAAGATTCAAAATGTAGTTATCAATACTGCAGTACACAGGAATATTCTAAAAACATTTCGGAACAAAGAAGATCAAAAAATGTCAAACCAACAGAAAGTTTTTGCGGTCTGAACTTGACATTTCAACAACCGTAGTTCCAAGAAAACCCCGTTTAAAATTCTATCTCCTAAATGATTAGGGCTCGAAAGTGCTGGGTTTAAATCCAACTTTACGCCCTTTACTAACGCAAATACAAACAAAACCCTTCGCAACGTGTTATTTAAGACAGGAGAATGAGTTCTCAAAATCTAATTTTTCATCCAATTAGACAGAACAACAGTCGCATCGGGCTTGTTCTTTAGTAGAGACTGAGAGAGTGCGGCTCTAATTTAAAGCGCTTAATTACCATTTGAGTGGTATTTGAAGCAGTAAAAAAAAAACGCTCCCTGAAAGTTTTGCCTGCGTGAAGCAAGGTCCTTTTTCTCGTAGACAGTCTCTGCTATGACGCGCCATACTAAGAATAAACGCCATGTGAACCTTCAAACGTTGCCATATTTCTTTTAGTAAAATATGAATTTTCAGAGGAACCTGCCATTATTTCCCATTCAATTTTTCAGGGAATTTTCCAGGTAATGTGATCTTCAGTATCTGAACATTTCAAGGAGAAACACGCATAATTTTCCCCCAAAATTGTTATATTAAGAAGAGGGGCAACTTGGCAACTCTCTGATATTCATACGGCGTTTTTCCTTAGCTTGGCAGTATACTGTCGTGCTAAGGAAGAACGACGTATGAACCTCAAGACGTTGCCAAGTTTCTTCCGATAAAAACCGAGATTATTGGAAAAATTGTGAATATTATTTTCCAAAATTTTCAGACAATTTTGTACGTAATTTAGCTAAAATATCCTAAAATTTCTAGGAAAAATACGCATGAATGTTGTCTAAAATACTTGTTTTATTCGGGGAAATTTGGCAACTCCCAAATGTTTGTACGGCGTTTGTCCCCAGCATGGCAGTATACGTTTTTTCTGCAATAAATGAATCAATAAGTCCGTGAAAACCTCCGACCAACCCACCTTTGAACTTATCCAAGTAAGAAGAAGCTCCAAGTTTCGCGAGAATCGACTCCACTCGCGTGAAAATCATTTTTCCGGGAGAGTAAATTTATCACACACAAAGTTCAAGTTTATTAAATCGAAAACTGAAAACGTCACAATTTTCACTATACTGCCGAACAAACCATAAGAGGCACCACTTGTACTCGGTATGGAAGATGGTGTCCACTCGGGGAGAACGAAAACGGCACTGACAGCGCCGGTAAGAAGTCGGGTCAGTTTACCGGATAGGGGTGGTTAGTCCAAGTGCGGTGTACCTTGGAGCCAAGGGTGGAAAATCCACCCCAATTTTACCGGACGCCGCGCCGCGCCGCGCCGTCGGGACACAGGAATTTCCGGTTTTGTTCGAGCGGGATTCCCTCAATCTCCTCGGATCGAAGTCAAATAAAGTTCGGCAATAAAAAGTAGCCGTTAAGAGATGCAGAAGAATGAAATTGAGGCATAAAACGGACTTAATATGTTTTGGATTTGTGTCCGGGACGTAATATCTTCACCATCCGGCCAAAGTATCACAAGCGCCTTGCGATGTTTCAAAATTTCCGCCGTCGTTTAATTTTTTACAGAGAAATTGTTGGTTGAATCTTTTTGAAGATTTTACTGAATTTTATCGACAGCACACAGAAAATTTATTGCAATTTTCGGTTAGCTTCTTCGAACAATTTCTCTGCAAAAAAATAAAATGGTGGCGGAAATTGTTAAATGTCGCATGGCGCTTGTGATACTTTGACCGGGAGGTGGCGATATCTGGAGAAATTATACGCTAATTGCAATCAGAAAAATATACGCGAATTAATTATTTTAAACGTAAAAAATCCATCCATGAATGCTATGGAAGACACTCTACGCTCACTCCCAAGTTGGCCGGACTAATTAATCGCCTTAATGTCTAAACAACGCATCAGCCATTCTAACACAAGTAAAAACAACAATCAAACCACTTTGATCAGTGTGAATTCAGCGAGATTTCAGGCAAAATCACAACTAGAAAAAAAAACGCGAATTCCTTGTTTTAAACGTAAAATATCCATCCATGAATGCTATGGAAGACACTCTACACTGGAAAAAAAAACACATTGGATCTAGAGTCCAGACTCTTAAAAACATCGACCAGAAAAAGTACTCTTGATTCTATCAGAATCTAGCTTAAATCAAAAACCAAGCCTCTTAATTTAAGCGGATTTCGTTTTGATTCAAGCAAAAATCCGATTGAATCAAGAGTATTTTTTCTTGTCAATGTTTTCAAGAGTCTGGACTCAAGATCCGATGTGTTTTTTTTCCAGTGTACGCTCATTCCTTAGTTTGCCCGACCAATTAACCGCCTTAGTGTCTAAACAACGCATCAGTCATCGGAGTTACCGCGGAGATAGGAGTCCGCGACGAACGCCCTCCAATCAGGCGGGTCGAGCTTCAATTTCGGAGTGATTTGTGAGCAATAATAATCAGTTTTCCTCGGTGTTTGATTGCAAGACGAATGTAGGTCACGCGGGCGATGCAAGGTTTTCATTGTAGTGGTGAGGATAGAGCATTGCAGACGAGTCGTCTCAATTAAAATGCAATATGTCTGGTCTCGTTCATGAATTAGCAACGAGCTCTGATTCGCATCGGAGGGGTCCCCAGTGGTAGTGAACTTGAACTATTCCGGTGTTCAGCAGTATGTGCCCATTAATCAGATTCATCGTTGTTTTTTATCGCATTTCGAAAAAAGCTCGGTCGTACGAGCCGGAGTAAGCACGGTGTACTGAGAAAAGCAGAATGGAGATGTTGCATGTGTGAGGGATTTGCGATTTGACTGTTGATTCATATGTAAAAGTTCGCGAGAAACACGATGGTGCCACTGGTTTTCTCTGAAATCAACTTCCAAGCTCCAAAAAAGCTCTCAAAGTGAGGCCAAAATGGAGGGGATATCCCACCGTACCCTAAGAGTCCACCTCTACATCAAAACAAACTATCCATGCAAAGATAGGGAGCAAATACATTAGCAGTGATGCCGTGTTTTCAGCACCGGAGTCACCAAATGAAGTAGCAGCCCTGTCAATGTATTTGCTCCCTATCTTTGCATGGAGAGTTTGTCTTGATGTAGACGTGGACTCTCAGGATAGCGTGGGATATCCCCTCCATTTTGGCCTCAACTTGAGAGCTTTTTTTGAGCTTGGGAGTTGATTTCAGAGAAAACCAGTGGCACCATCGTGTTTCTCGCGAACTTTTACATCAGAAACACTAGTCAAATCGCAAATCCCTCACACATGCAACATCTCCATTCATCACAACTGGACTGCGTTTTGCAATCAGGAACTATAATTTCTGGCTCAGCTCAAAGAAAACGTCTGTACCATTAGTTTCCCGACGCCTTTAAGTGTTTTTACTGATGAGCCAGAAATTGGACGGAATTAAACAGAAAGGAACCAAGCCACATCGGGATCGAACCGAGAAAAAGAGGTTTAAAGTTTGGCTCCTGCATAAGACTCAATGTAAAAGATAAACTTCAAGTTCAATTTCTGCAAAATTTGCTCCAACAAAAACTTTGAATTTTTGGCGATAGATAGTAGAGCAGTGGTTGAGTTCAAAACCACTCATAACTCAATTTTTTCCAAAATGTGGGTTGGTTCCTTTCTGCTTAACTCAGTCCAATTGTAGTTCCTTATTGTAAAATGTAATCGAACCAAAAAGACCTTTTTCCCGGCAGTTCCTCGCTACGGTAGTTGGCAAATAATTCTCTTTCTCCCTTCTCCCCTTCTTTTCCTGTATCAAATCAGTTGAAAGCGACTAATAATTAGACTGTACATTTTCCGATTAGAAGCTACAGTTTCCGGCTCAATTTAGAAGCAACGTATGTACCATTGGTTTCCGCTTGCACATGCGCGTTTTTACGGATGAGTTAGGAATTTTAGATTCTATTCGGACTGCATTTCGCAATGAGGAACTGGAATTTCTGGCCGTTAAGTAAAAACACCTACCCGCAAAGGGAAATCACTGGCACTTATGTTTTTTCTAAAATAAGCCAGAAATTGTAGTAATCGCAAAATGTGGTCCAACTGCATAATATAGTCCAAAAATTGGACGGTATTACCCAAAATCAGTCAAACCACACCAAAAGTTGCTCAATTATCTCGCGCGTGTTATTTATTTATTTATTTTTTTTTTTAAACAACAACATTATCACTCGAGATTTTGTGAGAAATTCGTCTTAAATCGTAGAAAATTCTTGAAAAGTTTTAAGATGTCATGTAGTTTCGATTTCTTTGTCATTTTCTAAATTATGTTGCAACCCTGTGCAAAGCTTTTAAAGTTTCCAAATTCCAAATTTTGTCCGACCTCACACATTGACCCGATCCATTGGACGGCGGTCGAAAGTCTGCGTAACTCCTTCCGTCGATATACATCGAAGAAGTACGAGGGGTTAAAAATTCTAAAATCGGACACATTTAATGCCTCCAAAACGTAGTTACGGCAAGTGATATATGTGCCAGCTTGATTTTATCATCATCAACCTACTAAAATAGACTCGGACGAGGGAACATGTCACGGAGGGAAATCTTTGATCATGTCGAATTTGTCATCTGTTATTTTGTTTGTCAATCAAAATTTTCATCCGCACAGTCCCACAGTTTCCACCCGGTGAAATTATTTTTCATTTTCTTTTTTTACAGTCGAAAAGATGAAGCGGCAGACCGACGAGAAAGAAAACGACTGCGTCCCCGGCGATAACGATACTGGTGAGTTTTTTTTTTTTTTTTTTTTTTTTTTTTTTTTTTCCTGATGTTTAATGACTTTGTGACTAAGACTACTGGTGAGTTTTTCAAGTTTATTTTCCTGTGCAGGGTGACAAGTTCTTTGCAAGTCAGGGAAAGCCTGGAAAAGTCAGGAAATTTTCCTGCAAAACCTTGAATTTCTTTTACTTAGAGGGGCCTAGAGCGGAAATAACGTAAATCCGTTCATGAGTTTCATGTTCAATAACCCTGAAATGTCATGGAAAAGTCGGGGAATTTTGAAATTCAAGAAAAGTCACATCGCATAGCCCTTCTCTTTTTTTACGAATTATTTTTTAGCTTTTTCACTCTCTCGTAATTAAGTTTTTCCTCTCTGGGTCTTTAAATGATAAGTATTTCTCGACAATGGAGAATTCACAGGTGTCTCAAATTTTGTAAATTGCATCTTTGAAATGGTACTACTAGTATAACTGAGTACGGGAATAGCCTTGGTTTCTAAATTGGACAATTATTGGAGAAAATATGAAAAAATAACCTAATCTGCTAAAATACATGTGTTTAAATGGAAAATGCCGCCAGATTACTTCACAAGGCGGCATATTTTCTCACTTTTAAATCTATTTTTCTCCAATTTCCCATGTCAGAAAAAAATCATGAAAAATAATGCGATCTCAGCTCATCGGGCACTCTCAGATGAAGCAATGAAATTTTTGTGCGCGAATTCTCCATTGTTTACTTCCGCTGTAAATGCACCTTAAGGTGATTCGATGGACGTCATATTTTGTGTCCGAACGGCATGCGATATGTGGCATCAATTGGTTCCATTTTTTCAGCTACTCGTCATTTTTCTCCAATTTTGAGATCGCAATTCTGTTGTCAGGAGACTAGAGCACTCACGTACCAATTTTAACAGAGAAATTCAACGTAATAAAGGCGTGGTTTTTTTAAAGAGAAAATATCGCATTCGAGTGCAGTTTCGATATCAGTATCGAATGCGATGTTTTCTCTCTAAAAAAACCACGCCTTCATTACGTTGAATTTCTTTGTTAAAATTGGTACGTGAGTGCTCTAGTCTCCTGACAATAGAATTGCGATCTCAAAATTGGAGAAAAATGACGAGTAGCTGAAAAAATGGAACCAATTGATGCGATATATCGCATGCCGTTCTGACAAAAAAAAATGGCGTCCATCGGATCACTTAAAATGTGTACTCGGATCTATCTGCTATACATAAGGTGCGTTGTTAAATTACTTTTACTGCCCAACAAAAATGGCCGAATCTCAGCAGGATTGACGTCATCTCAACGACGACGTCAGCTCAACAGACGGGAGAAAATCGAGGTGTCGTTGTTAAATTCCCGTCGGATTCTGCGGATTTGGAGGTTAAGTTTTATTGAAATTTAATATTTTTAACATTTAAAAATCTCATTAACACCCACATTATTACGAAATTGACGCAATAAACGATTATAAGCAATTGCAAGTCAGTCTGGTGACGAACATGTGGCGAAGAAGTGCGAAAAAATGGCGGTTATGGATGTAAACAATAACATAACAACAATCCAGCAAACTCGGCAGCGGTCCACAGCGGCCAAAAACCTCGCTGAGCTGTTGGGCAGTTTGCTGAGCAGCCATCTTGGAAAACGGGTAAATCCACCAGAATTCACCAACGCTTTCGTTGAGCTCAACGCTCAGCGGGTAATTTTCGTTGGGCAGTTGTGGACTTTTACAACGCATCTATATGTCTCCCGTGTGCAACAGACCCGTTACAAGCACGGGCAGAGCGGGAAGGTAAATTGAGAAAGAGAGCGGAGCCTGATACGTAGACGAGAGACGAGAGACCTATTTTCTGGAGTTGCAGTCGTCGAACTCCCCACGATCGGCGACGGTTCCTTTTGTTTTATCTCTGTTTTGTTTCTAACTGGCGACCATAAAAATCCAGCCGAAGAGATCATCCTGGAGTGTTAGCGTCGTCGGTCATGTAGACCGTAGGAAGAATGTTGTGGGTTACATGTTACATGAGGCAGGGTCTATGAATCGCACATGGATCTGCAGTCGTGGTGCGATGCATTCTGCGGGCCGATTGTTGAAATTGATAGACAAAGCTATAGACAAAGGAGACATAGGGAGTATGGAGCGATCCTATTGGTTGAAATGGGTGGTTCCTATAGACAAAGGGAGAAAATGATAGACTAACTGTCGGGTCTCTCGTGGGTTGCCGTTAGTTAGTCTATTACCTACCTCCTATGTCCACCACTCGCTTCCACCAATAGGATCCCTCCAAATCCCTTTTGTCGTCTTTGTCTATAGCTTTGTCTATCAGTTTCAATAATCAGCCTGCTGGGCACGATTGGTTCTCGTGAATTTTTAACCTCCGAGTGGACTATTTTGGAAGAATCGAAATTTTTGTCCAGAATTAATCACTCAGCGGCCGAATTTTGTTGGTCCATCCAACGCACTTAATGAATGTAGGTACCTTGGACGAGTTTCGACTGCACTTCCCATGGAGAATCCCATATATTGAAGTAGCGTCACCGCTTGGTTTTTCGGTTTTCCTGTGCCGATACCGCAGGTTCGACCGTTAAGGTCGTAGTTTATGGGCGCTAAAGCTAGGATTGTACTTCGGAAACGGATAATTTTTGCAGAATAATTAATAAATGAAAAAATAAATTACTAAATAATAAATAATAATAGAAAATTAATAAATAATTAAGAAGCAGGAGTAATTTAATATAATGATAAATTGAACTCAAATCAACATTATAAAGCAAAAGAATTTGGAAAATCTCGTCATGTAAATACAGAAGATTCGAAAACGCCTTCAATTGAGGCGTGATACCTCACGCGTTCCGGAGAGTTCAAATAGTTGTATCCCTGCGCCTTAGCAAGGCGACGGAACCTTGATATTGAAGTAGCGTCACCGCTTGGTTTTCTGATTTTCCTGTGCCGCTACTGCAGTTCCGACGGTTAAATTCGTAGTTTAAGGGCGCTAAAGCCAGGGTCGTATTTCGCAGATAGATAATTTTTGCAGAATAATTAAAAATTAAGAAGCAGGAGTAACTTAATATATTGATAAATTGAACTCAAATCAACATATAAAGCAAAAGAATTTGGAAAATCTCGTCATGTAAATACAGAAGATTCGAAAACGCCTTCAATTGAGGCGTGATACCTCACGCGTTCCGGAGAGTTCAAATAGTTGTATCCCTGCGCCTTAGCAAGGCGACGGAACCTTGATATTGAAGTAGCGTCACCGCTTGGTTTTTTGATTTTCCTGTGCCGCTACTGCAGTTCCGACGGTTAAATTCGTAGTTTAAGGGCGCTAAAGCCAGGGTTGTACTTCGCAAATGGATAATTTTTGCAATATAATTAAAAATCAAGAAGCAGGAGTAATTTAACTAAATAAATAATAAAGCCTTAGCTAGCGATGATGGAAGCTTGATAGTTCCATAAAGAGAATAAAAGGTTTTTGCATTTCGGGCATCTTGGACTTTCCTTAAAAACACAAAGACAAGTTTTGGTAATCTTGGATGTTGTCGCTGACGCAGGTCGGTACGGACGGTTTTTATCATCGATTTCCTTGTAAATGGTATCGTTTATGGAAAACAAATCATTCTATATAAGGTGTTTTAAATTATATTTTTAATCGATCAAAGCAAAAAAAAAAAAAAAAAAAAAAAAAAAAAAAAAAAAAAAAAAAAAAAAAAAAAAAANAAAAAAAAAAAAAAAAAAAAAAAAAACGGACGCTATGGTCTGTTTCTCATACCTCGAATTTCGGATTTTACTGGAATATCGACACCATAATGTAGCGACCTACGTCGCGGGGTAAACAAACCCCAAGATGCAAACACCTACGATTTTCTTCTCTATGCCTAAGTCCAGCTCGGCGCTTCTAATCGGTCGGTGGTGTGGTTTGCACTCATCGATGTATGTTGCACGCCTATGTGAAAGAGCCGACAAAATTCGCCCTCAAGAATGTTTGTGCCAGGCGAGTGAGGTAAAAGATTTAAGGAGGCAAATACGCGCCTTCACATAGACCGCTGCAACGCGGTGCACTTGTCCTATCCGTGGTAAAAATTTGCGATAAGAGCTGCGTTTTGAACCATAGGAATTCTTATAGCCGGCTAAAGAAGGCTACAGAAAATCATATAGCTGGCTGTAGAATGCGGAGAAAATCACACGACCGGGCTATACGAAGCGATAAAAAATTATGCAGCCGGGCTGTAGTTCCTATAGCCGGGCTTTACACTTCATCGCCTGGCTGTTGCTTTTTCGCCATCGATTATAAAATGCTGTAAGAAATTGTGTAGAAATTCGTGTGCTTTGGAAATCATTAAGTTCGATACGGAACCACCTTCATATTTACACAACATACGTTATATTTTCCTATAATACTTATTTTTTTTCATCAATTAAAACGAGAATAATCCATACAGGATTTCCAATATTTCAAATTCATGAGTAAAATAACGCTGACTCTGCTAGATTAAATATTAGAGCCTAACACAAAGCGGAGCGGCGACGCACCGGCGCCTACAAACCTAACAGGGATACTTCACGCATTGCGCAACGCGTGAAGTATCCCTGTGAGGTTTGTAGGCGCCAATGCTCGTTTCGCGCTGGCTGCCCGCCTGCCGCACCGCAGCGTGCCACGGCGCGGCGCTTGAAGCAACTATTTCACACCAGAGGTATTGCACAGTATCATACAAAACTGAAGGTGCTCTAATATATTAAGAATGGCAGGCATCCATCAAAAGTACGGAGCTTTCCTCGCAAAATAAATCAAGATACTACGGCCCAAGAAGAGAGCAGTGGTCCGAAAACTCACCAAGTCCTAGCATCCGTAATTAGTGACGTTTAGTATACACTTTATCGCCTGGCTATGAGTTGCGTTGTCGCCGTCGGCTGTAAGCTGTGAGAAATTGTGTAGCCGGCTATAGAAGCTATTGGAAATCCTACAGCCGGCCGTAGGTCTATAGTATTTTGGAACACAGATTCTACTGCCA